CCATTCTCCTGCCTCAGCCTCCAGAGTAGCTAGGACCACAGGTGCCCGCCACCATGCCTGGCTAATTTTTTGTATTTTTAGTGGAGATGGGGTTTTACCGTGTTAGCCAGGATGGTCTCGATCTCTGACCTCGCCGCCTGCCTCGGCGTCCCAAAGTGCTGGGATTACAGGCGTGAGCCACCACGCCAGGCCAATTTACTTTTTCTTTATAAATGGATGTTTTATTAGTACCATGTGAAACATTATATGAAGATAGCATTTTTTTGATGGCAGTGGCTTCCTTGCTGTCAATATCAAATATACCTGGCAATTGGTATTTAAAGCTTACCTCTGTTTATCATACACAACTTAAAATTTGTCCAAATGGAAATAAGTACTTTAAAGTTTCTTATGGATCACTCTGACATAAAACTTAAATGCATTTGGTTTTTATTGGACCTCTTTTTAGTAGTTACGATTTTTGTTTTTAGATGGGGCCTCGCTCTGTTGCCCAGACTGGAGTGTAGTTGCTGATCTCGGCTCACTGCAACTTCTGCCTCCCAGGTTCAAGCAATTCTCCTGTCTCAGCCTCCCTAGTAGCTGGGATTACAGGTGTGCTTCACCACGTCCGGCTAATCTTTGTATTTTTTGTAGAGGCAGGGTTTCATCATATTGGCCAGACTGGTCTTGAACTCCTGACCTTGAATGATCTGCCTGCCTCAGCCTCCCAAAGTGCCGAGATTACAGGCATGATCCACTGTGCCCGGCCAATAATAGTTTTGATTTTGAATAAGAACAGTTACATTTGACTGTGATCCAAGAGTGTGAATTTAATAACATTCAAAACCATTTTGCTTTTTTTTTTTTTTTTTGTTACAGGGTCTCACCTTGTCACCCAGGCTGGAGTACAGTGGCACGGTCACAGTTTGCCATCATACCCAGCTAATTTTTTCTTTTTTTGTTTTGTTTTGTTGACATGGGGTCTCACTATGTGGCCCAGGCTGGTCCTGAACTCCTGAGCTCCAGTGATCCTCCCACCTCAGCCTTCCAAATTGTTGGGATTGGGCCTGGCCTCTCTTGCATTTAAAATGGATCTTAGTTGTATAAAAATGGGTTTATAGGCCAGGCATGGTAGCTCATGCCTATAATCCTAGGACTTTGGGAGCCTGAGGCAGGCGGATCACCTGAGGTCAGGAGTTCAAGACCAGTCTGGCCAACATAGTGAAACCCTGTCTCTACTAAAAATACAAAAATTAGCTGGGTGTGGTGGCAGGCACCTGTAATCCCAGCTACTCGGGAAGCTGAGGCAGGAGAATCGCTTGAACCCGGCAGAGGTTGCAGTAAGCCCAGATTGCTCCATTGCACTCCAGCCAAGGTGACGGAGCGAGATGCCATCTCAAAAAAAAAAAAAAAAAGTGTATTTAGAAGAAAGTGATCATAATTAACATTAAGTGATCATAGATTTCATTTTACTAAACTAAGCTTTTGAAGAGGTTTGTACTTCTGTGGTAAGATTGGATCAGGTACTTACAATGAATAATAATGGTATGATTTTTTTCAGATATGTTAATGAATACAGCCAGGGCACACATGGTTGAAGAGGTTAATACTGATGAAGATCAAAAGGACGAGTCAAATGGATTAAACAAAGACATTCTAGACAATCCATGTAATGATGCTATTGCTAATACTTTTAAGTGAAGAAGAGGAATTAAAATTAGAGGAAACACTGCTGGACCAGTCTTTTAAAAATGTGCAACAGCAACTTGATGCTACATCGAGAAATATTACTGAAGCTAGATAAGTTTCCATTAAGAGAAAATGTATCTGTTAAGTCATCATCCTGCAAGCTTGGCGTTACTATGTATTTTTTCTTCTTGGAGTGAAAATCCTTAGGTAGTAAAACTTTTACAGATTATTGTTTAAAATCTGGTAATCTGGTATTTATTTATAATTATGCTTGTCACTTTAGTTAAATCTATTTGTTCTCTTTAGTGTTGGGTTTTATATAGATGTTTCTTCATAAAATGATTAGTAGGTAATAAGGAGTTTCTGCTGCTGGTCTGTCATTGAATGCCTTGTTTTCACTAAGTTTGGAGGTTTTGTTTCTGTTGTTTACTGCTCCTTGCAAAACAGGGTTAACCCATGGACAGTGTGCCCAGAATAGTCTGGGTGAAGTTTATTTGTTTGTTTGTTTTGAGACAGTCTCGCTCTGTCAGCCAGGCTGGAGTGCAGTGGCACAATCTCGGCTCACTGCAGCCTCCACCTCCTGGGCTCAAGCAATTCTGCCTCAGCCTCCCGAGTAGCTGGGATTACAGGCGCCTGCCACCAAACAAGGCTATTTTGTATTTTTAGTAGAGATGGGGTTTCACCATGTTGGCCAGGATGGTCTCGATCTCCTGATGTTGTGATCCACCCATCTTGGCCTCCCAAAGTGCTGGGATTATAGGTGTGAGCCACCGTGCTTGGCCAAGAGTTAATTTTTCTAGCGGGGTGTTTGCTGGCAAAGTAACGAGTTTTCAACAAGGGGAAGGCCAATGCACCTCATCAAAGTGGGAGGGTGGGAAGGGAGGCCTGTGACAGAACTTTACCTGCACCTTACCACCTGCCCTGTGTCCTATTCCTAACTAGTACTGGAGACAGCAGGGAAGGACTGAGTCAAATATGAAATAGGAGTTTTAAGCAGAGAGGTGGACTCAGGACTAAGTCTTATTATCTGAAAGTGACTGAAAATTAAATGACAGATGTCAGAGGGGCCTATGATCCAAATGTAATTACTGGAAAAATAAAACATTTGAAAGAACTGATTGGAGACAAGATAACCAATAATTTTGGGTTTATTAAACTATTAGAAACGGGCTAGCAATCTGCAGAGCCACCACTTACTGTCCACTCATTACTGAAAACTCAGTTTCCATAGTGACCTAATTATACTTTATTTAATGCAACTTCAATGAATGAGAGAACTTTTTTTTGAGATGGAGTCTTGCTCTGCTGCCCAGGCTGGAATGCAGTGGTGTGATCTCAGTTCACTGCAACCGCTTCCTCCTGGGTTCAGGCAGTTCTCCTGCTTCCACCTCCCAAGTAGCTGGGACTACAGACATGAGCCACCATGCCCGGCTGAGAACATTTTACATATATGTGAAATAGTTACCCAGTCCTGATCAACTAGAGCACTGAGTGACACACATTAAATGTTAAGTTTGAAAAGACTGTAAAACATTCACATATGACAGCTCTTAGTGAAGTAAGAGCCTTTCATATTCCGTAATTGTTTGAAACATCCAGGAGAGCTAGGTCCCGTATCTCCTCTAGAAGTGTGTATAGGCTCCTTCCCTTTGTTTGGCAATATTCTTGATATTCTTCCTGAATGATGTTTACTTTGACCTCTTGGGCAAGCTGAGCTTCTTCCATAGATTTAGTTACTTCTTTCACTAACTCACTCTTCAGCAAAGGGGAGCTCTGATGAGTAAGTTCTGTATTTGGTATCTTGTATGGTTTGTTACTAATTATTTCAAGTCTGATTGTATCAGAATGGCAACGTGAGGCCTGTACGGATATTCTTACCTAGCATAGAGAAGAAAATACATATTACTAAATCACATTATTTGTTCCTTACATTTTAAATATTAATAATACTTAATAGAAATACAGACTTACAGTTACATGGTCAAACAAATGGAACGTAACAGATTCCCCATCTGTTGTAGTAGAGGTAATTTTGTTTTGAAATCGTTGAAGGGATCCTGGTTTCCATGCAGAACGGCTATCTGGGCCAGATGAGATGACTAAACCATCTTTATTTTTTAGATAAGCAGCACCTTTAATCCCAAACCTATATTATGACCAGAATATAAATCCAGAGACAATGTATTCTTAGTACACAGATCTTGTATGCTTATCTAGAATACTAGTTTTTCTCCTAGATTAAAAACAAATTACTTTTCCTGTGGTTTACCTCCAAGTATTTATTTCACCTTAGCAGATGGAAACAAAGTATTTTGTTAGATAAGAAAGACCCTAAAATGGACATAGATGTGTATATATATACACACATTCCAATCTTCACTTTATTTTTTTTGAGACAGATTCTTGCTCTGTCACCCAGGCTGGAGTGCAATGGCACGATCTTGGCTCACTGCAACCTCTGCCTCCCGGGTTCAAGTGATTCTCCTGCCTCAGCCTCCCAGGTAGCTGGGATTTCAGGCACGCGTCACCACGCCCGGCTAATTTTTGTACTTTTAGTAGAGACGAGGTTTCACCATGTTGGCCAGGCTGGTCTCGAACTCCTGACCTCAGGTGATCTGCCCACCTTGGCCTCCCAAAGTGCTGGGATTATAGGCGTGAGCCACCCCTGGCCTCCAATCTTCACATTTATATACTGAATCATATGTTACATTATGTACATATAACTAGTTGCTTAAATATCTTAATAAATTCTATCTATGTACAGTTTGTGTTCTACACTTTTACCGATGATTTGTTATGCACCATTGCATTAGATGTAACATACCTGGGTATAAATACAAGCACGCCATTTGTTCGAATTGAATAAATAACTCCATCAGATATGCAACGCTCCTCGGTGGCAGGGTCTTTGTCTTTGAAGTACATGCACTGGAAGAGCTCAGTAGACTGCTTCTGAGAATGCTGTGCTGCCTGTAAGAAGCACAACTCCAAAGTATTATAACACTCCCCTGGCATTCCCCGAAGAAATGAAATTCATATTCATTCAAATGTGAGATTCTGTAAAACTATTAACATAAAAATTATTCTCTATTATGAAATTAAATTACTTTTTGTGGGAACTTAACTATCTAGTATTATCTCTTCAAAAATGTCTTAGAAAATGAATTATTTTATAAAATGAAACCCATTTTTAGTTCATGAAATTAGAGGTCAGCAAATTTGAGTCATGTCTACCTTGGGTATAGGAAAAGTATCACATGTCTTACTTGCCATTTCTTTCTTCTCTTTTCTTTTTTTTTTTTTGAGACGGAGTCTCGCTCAGTTGCCCAGGCTGGTGTGCAGTGAGGCGATCTTGGCTCACTGTAAGCTCCACCTCCTGGGTTCACACCATTAGTCTGCCTCAGCCTCCCGAGTAGCTGGGACTACAGGCGCCCGCCACCACGCCCAGATAATTTTTTTTTTGTATTTTTAGTAGAGATGGGGTTTCACCGTGTTAGCCAGGATGGTCTCGATCTCCTGACCTCATGATCCGCCCACCTCGGCCTCCCAAAGTGCTGGGATTACAGGTGTGCGCCACCCCGCCCGGCCAGCCTTTCTTTTCAAACCTGTCCTACGAAAACCCTATTGGTGGAAGTCTAAATTAGCACTACTGATAAGGAAGACAATTTAGTAATATGTATCAAAGTTTCTTTTTGTTTTTTGAAGATGGAGTCTCACTCTGTCGCCTAGGCTGGAGTGCAATAGTGTGATCTTGGCTCCCTGCAACCTCCACTCCCGGGTTCATGTGATTCTCCTGTGTCAGCCGCCCGATTAGCTGGGATTACAGGCGCGCACCACCATGCCTGGCTAATTTTTTTTTTTTTTTTT